CTTAGAGCCCAGGCTGCTAGTGCTCGGCAGCCCTTGCACATGTAGAGGAAGCTGGACTTGCTGAAATGGGCAGTTAGCACTCTGCTTAGCCCTGTGCCTGCCCTTGCTCTTTTTTATCTCTGTGGAGCCGTCACACCTCAGTTCATTTCACCTTAATTAGTATAATGTGGAGATGCCCCTGGTTGGAAAAGGTGGATCTGTTCTATGATGTGATGTGAGTGCTCTTAGCATGGGTTATCCTGCTTGAATGTGTGGACATTTGCAGTCTAAAGGCATTGAATGTGTGCTAAATGTGCAGGTGTCCTGGCCCTTGGGAAATCAGACTTCAGTTATAATAGCAATACCACGTCCTTCTGCCGGGTGGAGGCAGGGCACAAGAAATACATAGACGACCTAGGCTTATGTCTAGGGCCCTCAGCTGGGGGCAGGGGTGGGGGCGATCCTGTCCTTCCCTCTGTGCTGGCTGCGGTAGGGATGGTCCTGTCCACCTCCCTTTGTCCCACCTCCCTGTCCACCTCTCCTTTGTCAGCTGCTTCCTAGCATCCGCTCCAAGCCCGGCTTCCAGCGGGCAGCAGTGCCAATTAGGGGAGGGAGGTCTCGGCCAGTCAAGGGCCCACCAGTTTGTTTCCCTAGGACCCCCCACTAAGGGGTCAATCCAGCCCTGGGTGGAGCCTTCCTCTATCCAGGCTGGAGCTGAGCCCCTGGTGTCAGGCACAAGCTGAGGGTGGGTAGGGGTGAGGTGAGAGCAGCAGCCAGTGACGGGCAGATTTGCATGAAGGGGCTGATCTCAGCTCTGGGGGTTAAGAGAGGCTCAGGGGGTCCATCCAGAGACCTGTTTGCATGAGGAAGCTGACCTGCTCTGGATTCCCACCATGGCCTGGGCCCCTGGGGCAGCTGGGGCTAGCCCCTTGTCCCTCAAAGTGTCTCCACAGTCAATAGCCCGTCTCTGTGTCTGAGTGCCTTCTGTATCTCCCTGTGGTTGGACATGGTCGCTGGGCTTTCCTTCTGTAGCCTGGACTCACTCCAGAACTCGTTCAGGACCCTGTAGAACAAGGGGTGCTCCACGGTACACCGTCTCCTGTTGGTTGGTGCGTACACCCCACACCATGTCCGGAGGTAACCTGCAAAATACTTCATGAGACAGGCTGTTTTAGTCTCTGACCCAGTCACCAGTTTGCAGATCTGCTTGTATACCATGATTGCAGGAACAGGTAGATGTCTGGTATCCCCCTGCCCCCAGTCCGTTTCTTTATGTACAGGGTCTTCCTTGCCACCTTCTCCATTCGGGATCCCCAGAAGAAAACACACAAGGCTCTCTGGAGTCTGTGGGTGATACCCTTTGCAGCGGAGAAGACCAGTGCAGTGTACAGAAGTGCTGGTAGCACCACCTTCATGAGGCCCTGTAGACGGGAGTTGAGCCTGCGGTTGAGCCAGGGTAGCACCATGGCCTACATGGACGACCTGAACATCCTGTGCCAGAATAACTGTGCAGTAGCAACCACAGCCTGCTTCTCAAGGCTTCTCAGCCATTTGGCAATTTGGCCATGTTTAAACTGGGACTGTGATTTGTGCCACTCTGGCCCCTCCCGATTGTCCCAAATAACTGCTGGGATCAGCTCTGAAAAACTGCTGCCAGTATCCCTTCTTTTCCCTCTGCCAGCTGCTTCCTAGCATCAGCTCCAAGCCCCGCACCCTATGGGTGGCAGCACCACTTTGGGGAGGGGGTCTCAACCAGCCCAGGGCCCACAAGTTCTTTGCCTAGGACCCACTGAAGCTCAATCTGGCTCTGGGTGGAGTCTTTCTCTACCAAGGCCTGAGCTGAGCCCCTGATGTCAGGCACAAGCTGCTGGGGCAGAGCAGGCTCCAGGCAGTGGGTTTTGCTCCTCCAGCTGCCCTCCTTCCTCCATCCCAAGTACAGGAGCTGAGGGGAAACGAGCCCAGTGCCTTGTGGCTTTTAAGGCACGTCCTCTGTGCAATGAGCTTGATTTTTCCCTCATTAATTCTATTATATGCAGGGAAGGGGTGGGGGGTGAGGTGAGAGCAGCATCCAGTGACAGGGGGAGATTTGCATGAGGAGGCTGACCTCAGCTCTGGGGGGTTAAGAGAGACTCAGGGGGTCCCAAACACAGACCGGTTTGCCTGAGGAAGCCGAGCTGGTCTGGATTCCCACCATGGCCTGGGCCGCGCTCCTCGTGGTGCTCACGTACTGCTCAGGTGCTCCTCGGGAAGGACTGATCTCAGTCTTTCGAGCCAAAGGGGACTGGGGGGTTATTCTTACCTCACTTCCCCATGGAGTTTTTTCCATCTAGGACTTTATCCCCGTGTTTTCCCTCCTTCTTTCAGGTTCCCTTGCCGAGTACGTGCTAACGCAGCCGCCCGCAGTGTCTGTGTCTCCAGGACAAACTGCTCACATCACGTGCAGTGGAGAGAAGCTTAACAAGAAGTATGCACAATGGTACCAGCAGAAACCTGGCAGCGTCCCCCGACTTCTTATATACAAGGATAAAGAGAGACCCTCCGATGTCCCTGACCAATTCTCTGGGGCCAGCTCCGGTACCACAGCCACGCTGACCATCACTGGAGTCCAAGCACAGGACGAGGCTGATTATTACTGTCTGAGTAGTGATGACAGTGGCACTCCTCACAGTGACACCGGGCAATGGGGAAGTGAGACACAAACTTCTTGCGGTCCCTGCGGAGGTGTTAGACCATTCCTTCTCATGACAGGGAGTGGGGGCTCTATGGAGACAGAGGGATTTCTGTTCAGGCCCATCCAATAGCTGCTGCAAAACCAGGCAGGATGCAGGACTTCTCCACAGTCACCCCTGAGAGCGGCCTTCCCTCACGGCCCTGAGAGCTGTCACATGAGTGACCCTGGGAGACACGGGACCACCTCCCTATTCCTGCTATAGGAACAAACCTCATCCATGCACGCTCCCTGCTTGGCTGTGTCTAAGCATGTGGCGCTCACCCCTCTTCTGTGGACCCCTGTGCACACGGATGCTCCTCACCTGAGAGCCACACGTGGCTGAACACTGCTCTCCAGGGCTCTCCTGGTTTCCACAGGGAGACCAACTCTCTGCCTATAATCACTTCACCCATGAGCCCACTCCCTGCCTCTCAGTGGACCGAACCTCCACGTGGACCAGGAGTGAGACCTCCAGTGCTGGTGAAGTCTCCTGGAGGTCAAGCTCACAAAAGCCAGGAGAAGTGCTTCCTTTTTCTAAGCCCTCCATGCCCACGGCCTGTCGGCCTCGTGGACATCTGTGCAGGAGCCAGCACAGCAGCCTCACGGCAGCGGGGACAGGGCTGTGAGGAGCCAGGTCCTGGCACAGAAGGAGGGCAGCTGCCCTCAGTCAGTGAGAGCAGCAGGAAGAGCTGGGCCCCGATGTGACACGGGTGGGAGCGGGCCACACCGCAGCTGTACGCGGCTCTGACAGGCTGCGGTGTAGGGGAAGGG